GTATAGCCCTAATGAAGATGTGATGTAGATTAACGGTCACGTTTCAATAGATTCTAGTATGTTTTATTATAAAGATATATCATACAATTTGAATTGTTGATTTTGATACAACAATAGCCGAAATGATATGTTATAAATATAGAGTTTAAACTGTTGACGTGATATTTCAGTTCAGGAGGCTGTCAAAGGGATAAACTAGACCTATATAAGAAATAGTTCTGTATTTTTATAGCCATCTTGTAGACTTTTCATCATTTGTAGTATTGGTTTTTCGACGACACAACGACTTCGGAATTAGATTATTTGTTAGGGCTGATATTATATAATCTGTATTAGATGAATGCCGAATTAGAACATAATCGTATACAAATCAAAATATACGTATCAAAACAATTGCTTAGCTTTCAGAATAGATGGGGAGACCGTTTGGTATATTACTCTATAACAATATCTTGTGTTATTGCTCTGAATAAGACATGTGGCAATTTATAATAACATATTTTGTTTTTTAGATCTTATTATTAATGACATCTTTGTGTGATTCGTACAGTGATTCAGATGTTCAAATTTTATATCTTAGGATTAAACTTTTAATTTGACAGAATAATTTTCTTTTCTTACAGAGTACACCATGCTGTAAAAGTGGTATTATGCTCCTTTCCTTGGCAAAAACTGTTACACGATTTCAAATCCCGGCGCTGACTGTGATATTTTTATATATTTATATAGTTGTTCGTGATAAAGTTCTGTCCCTTGAAGTTGAAAATATGGAGGATTTGTCGAAAAGTAACATGAAATTTGGTATTGACCTCTTAAAAACTGTGGCTTCTTCCAAAAAGAATGAAAATTTGTTCATGTCACCATTTAGTATCCAAACAGTGATGGCGATGCTTCATGTTGGTTCCAGGAATAATTCAAAGAAAGAAATTGAAAATGTTTTGCGTTTTGAGTCTGATGAGATTCATGCATCATTTGGAAAATATTTAGAAATGCTTCATCAGAAAGACTCAACTTATTCCTTATCTGCCGCTAACAAAATGTTCATCCACAATAAATTCGAGTTTCTTGACAGCTACCTCGATACTTTAAAGGCAACATACAAATCAACTGCTGAGAAATGTGATTTTGGTAGAAATCCCGAAGGAGAGCGAGAAAAAATAAACGCTTGGGTGGAAGGAGAAACCAATTCTAAGATAAAAGATTTAATCCCATCTGGAGTTCTAAACGGTTTGACTGCTATGGTTTTAGCGAATGCTATATATTTCAAAGGCGATTGGGAGAACAAATTCGAGGTTAGCGACACAGTTGATGATCAGTTTCACGTAGACTCTTCCCACCACGTGATGACGAAAATGATGACCATGAATAAGAAGCTTAAATTTGGGTTTTATAAGGCATTGAATAGTGAAATCTTGGAATTGCCCTACGTCAAAAAAGATTTAAGCATGTTCTTTATTTTACCACGAAAAGTTGATGGAGTTTCTGCTTTGACGGAGCAGTTGACAGACGAGCATCTGGTACAATTGATGAGATCTGTGTATCCAACAAAGGTTGATGTCATGATTCCAAAATTTTCATTAGAATCCGATCTAGATTTGAAAACCATTTTGATCGATTTGGGCATTAAAGATACATTTGATATGAATAAGGCAGATCTTTCAGGCATCAATGGGAACAAGGATTTGTATGTCTCCGATGCATTCCATAAAGCCTTCGTCGAAGTGAACGAGGAGGGAACAGAGGCTGCAGCTGCTACAGCAGCAGTCATTATGACTAGGTCCATACAAATTCCAAGGGTTTTCAAAGCAGATCACCCCTTTATTTTCTTTATTCACGATAATCGAACCAATATGGTTCTCTTTTGGGGACAATTTTCTAAGCCGAAGGGTGAGATTAAACCAACACGACAAGAACTGTAAAATGTTGCTGAATCAACAACAATGATAATGCAGACAGAAGCTGTGTCATATATTATATTTTGAATAATTCTACAATATTTATATAATGTTCCGAAAAAAAAATTGAGAAAAAGAGAACGTTTGACTCATTTACTTTTATTCATTACAGCTTTTGTAACGGACTACAATTAACGTAGCCTATGATCGCCAGCCAGAGTTTCAGCATAGTTTCAGTTACAAGACAATTATTTTATTATATCCTCTAATTATATAATACGTGTTATACTGTTATCCACTTTGTAACGAAGAATGATGCATATACCCACCAAGTGCACCAGAAGTTATATTTTTTTCAATTTGAATGAATTGTCAATAAAACCAATGTAATTGTTTTCAATTATGGAGTCTAAAAACTTTGATAATTGGGAGTATGCATGAATATACTTGAAATATTTTGGAATATCCAATTAAAAATGAATTTAGAAATATTATGAAAATTTACCAAATGGAGTTCATAAAACATTACTCTCTTTTTTTTGACATAATTCTAAAACCAAAATTCACTAATTCATAATTCTGTTTTATGAAACTGACCCACACCCCCTCCTCCACTCTAACACATACATATTTAGTTCTTAATCCATGCAAGGTTTACAATCTTTGAAGAACTTACTGTTTTCAATTCTAGTGAATTTTTACCCACAGATAGAATCGCAATTACAGCGATGCCTTAGTTTACATTTCGCTCAAAAACATAACTGAAGGTATTCATTAAAATCACCACTCAACTGTGATACAGACATGACAAAAAGTGAAAATAGGGCTGTCTGCATTCTTTAGAGTTTTACCCCAGAGACGTTTTTGAAATCATATTTATATATATAGACACAGCTTTATGGAACAACAATCACTGGTTAAAGTTTTATGCAACGTTTCGACGTGTTTCCCCCGTCGTCCTCAGGCACATAATGAGAAGAAGTGATGGGCAAACTATATATACATTAATGCTTATTATTAAGAACACACAAGAGAAAATGGTTTATTGATACATTACATTAAATTTTAATAGGTACAATAAGAGGTATATAATTCTTTAAATAACATACAGGCTGATTAAGTAAAATAATTGAAGTAAAGTAAATGAATTAAAAAAGATTAATTGAAGATTAAATAAACAACTATTGCTGGTATTGGAGTCTTTTATTAATAGAAATTACATTGTTCATATAACTAACTATGCTTAAAGTTGGAAATTGTTTTTGAATATGAATAATTACAAGTTAATAAGTTTATCATATGCATGCGATAAACGAACACCTTCATCTCTGTTAAGGTCAGGCTGATATCTTCTGATGTGGATAGCTTCATGAAGTCTCCTGGTTTTATCTATGTGCTTATTGATTG